GGCTGCGTGCTGGTGATCAGCCACGACCGCTGGTTCCTGGACCGCGTGGCCACTCACATTCTGGCCTTCGAGGGCGACAGCCGGGCGGTTTGGTACGAGGGCAACTTCCAGGATTACGAGGAAGACAAGAAGCGCCGTCTGGGCGACGCCGCCGTCGAGCCCCATCGCATCAAGTACAAACCCCTGACGCGCTGAGGCCGCTCACGCGACAGGCCTTCGCCGGTCGACGCTCTCACCTGCCGAACGCCGACAGCAAAAAAGGGGCCGGAAGGCCCCTTTTTACATCGCTCCGACCTTTGCCGGCTCTAGGCTCAGGTTTCGAGAGCAGGAGGCACGTCACGGGCGGAAGCGAAGCGCGTCCGCCCGTGACGATCGCGCTCTATCCCTGCTGATTGACGGGCCGTACCTGGCCGCTGTCGATCAGGCGACGCAACTCCTGAATCAGACCGGCCACGCTGCCCTGCTGGCGGATGACCGAGGTGTATTCGTCGCGCAGGGTGACGGCGAGGCTGACGCCCTCGGCCCGCACATCGAGAATCTTGAAGTTGGACGTCTCTCCCCGCACGCGCCAGATCGTCCGGACCGCTTCACCGCCGTCGGCCGGCTGAAAGCTCACGGGCACCTCGAAGAGATCGTCGCGTCCCTGCAGCGGCAGAGCATTGCCGAAGCGCAGTTCGACATCGCTGGCGCCGCCGAACAGCGGCAGGAAGCGCTGAGCTAGGTAGTCCTTGAAGACCACGATGAAGTCGGCGCGCTCCTGTTCGGAGGCTGACCGCCAGAAACGGGCCAGGATGAACTGGCTGACCGCNNGGCTGACCGCCGGCACGTCGAAGCCCTCTTCCAAAAGGCTGCCGAAGCGGGCTTCCCGCTCGTCCTGGCTCAGATTGTCGCCGGTCAGCTCCGTCAAGGCGGTGTTGGAGAATTCCTTCAGGAACTCGGTCGGCGTCTCGGCTTGTGCCGAGGCGGTCACCGACAAGGGTCCAGTCAGCATGAACGCCACGACGAAAACGGACGATCCCAGCTGACGCAGCCTGCGCGCGATCTTTGCGGTCATGTCTCTCCTTATCGGGCTCCCGACCTGACGGCCGAGTCGCACCGAATCCCTGCCTAACCCTGAAATACCGTTGCGTTCGAGCCTACGGAAAAAGGCCTAACGAACACTCACCTGACGCGGATCCGCCGTGGGCTCGGCCCCGCTGAACTCGGGGCCGGCGCCGCCGACATCGTTTCGAATCTGCCGTTCGCGCTGCTGCCGCCAGAGAGAGCGGATGCGCGAGTAGTAGTCGATGGAATCGCGACGGACTTCGTCGAGCGTGTCGATATTCGCCGCCCGGAAGCTGACCGCCTCGGCCCCCGTTCGGGCCAGCGCCAGCGAATCCTTGTCGTTGGCGCGGGCCAGATAGTTGAAGGGGTCGAGGAAGAAGTCGACGCCTCGGCCGCCGGCATCGCGGAAGGTCGAGGGCCCGAGCAGCGGCAGCACCAGATAGGG